TTGTTCACAGACCCCCATTATTTTCGCAAAATATTGGCAGTTTGCCACAGAGGGGCGAAACCGAACTGTCATCATCAATTACAACGCGGCTGTCAGAATAAAGTACATATTAAATACACGCCAGACAGTCTTAAGTGCACCTTCGTAGAACGACTCGTTGAATTTGAACTATTGAAAAAGACAACGTATTTTCGTGAACGTATATTATTCATGGAGTGAATAAAAATGATAAAATCAAGTGGAAAATGAATATTTGTGGAAAATTATGTTGTTTCTTTATTTCCTATTTAAATGCAATGAATGATTTGGATGACACATCCACATTATCAAATTTAGAAAAATGTTTCCAACATGAACATATTTATCTAAGTTTTCTTTAGATTTGCTGATGTTCAAATGAATTTTGAAATCAATTAATTCAATTTTCTCATTTTTTACGTTCGCTTCCTACAAAGTGAGCTTGAAAATGTGTTTCAGGAGCCATGGGAATAAAGTGGCTCCTTAAACACACAATGGCTTTGTTCCACCGAGTGCACAAATTTGTTCTACACATTGAACATGTCAGTAGATATTTAACCTCACTTTGTCAATCAAAAACAAGAAAAATGTTAGCAAAGAATTTCTGAGCAAAAAAAAAGAAAGTTAATATTCTTTTTCGGTATTTTTTCAAACGTTTCTAAAATGTTATAAAAAATGGGTTTTCATATTAATACACTAGGTATATTTTAATAAATAATTGAAATATTTTTTAACCAGAATGCTTGAAATATGTACTCATGTACTTATGCATACTTTTAGCGCGTTCCGCAACGAATGACAACCGACTACGCGGTCCCCGTTGTAGTTTGACAGTTCGGTTTCATGGCTCTGGTTTGCCATGGACAAAACCCTAAAAAATGCTTTCTTTGCGTACTTCCTATTGGATTATTGGATATATGCGGGGGTCAGAGACTCGTCGCTCAGGCTGTAATCAGTCTATTGCGAGGCGCCCGCTGTGAATACTATTTTTGTGCCCGTACTTTCTATATTGCCAATATAATATTGGTCAAGAGAGGGCTCTCAGGTCGCATGTGGTCCGATATACGAAGACCTCCATCACTTCCATTTTTGGCCTGTCTCTGTATTCAATCAGATTTTCTGTTTAGTCAAGTTATTCACTTCTAATGAGCCAATCCAAACTACGCATCTCATTTTTGTAATTGAGTTTTCGATGGAGACATGCTATCGTGTTTTATTTTCAAGTTTCAGGAGTGAGTTGAGAAAAGTCCAAGAAATCTACCGAAAATTGGTATTTTTGTATATTTTTGAGCTCTTCACGCAGAACAATCTTATTGACCTACAGATGATAGGTAACCAAGTGGTGATCTGAAAATTGGGTGTCAAATTATTCAAATCACAACTACCGTAATTCAGATTTAGAGCTGCATTTTCTCATTCAGAGCTACCGGATTCCGGTAGAACTACCGGCTATTTCATTCACTGCATACAGGTTACTTGGCATTTGATTCTCTTGTGATTTTTTTGCCATTTACTTGTTACGTAAACGAAAATAGTACTGTTTCGATCAATATTTCAGATAAGGCGATATATGCGTGGTTTGTACTTTCAATCTGTTGGATTTCATCAAATAAACGTACAATGAACCTCTAATTAATGGAAAACACATTTTTAAAGCCACCGCGATAGTCTCGATCATTAAACGTCAAACCAAAAATGCCAAACATTTTGACGGGAACTACATTGATGAGTGTATTCAATGCAGTGTCAAACATAGTCGTCACCAGTTGCGGTGTATATGTATACGATGCCATTCATTTCCAAAAAATGTTTAAATTCAGCAGAAGTAAATTGTCTTCCATTGTCTTGAACCAAGATGCTGATTAAACCAAATCGTGAGAAAATTTCTCTTAATTTACGAATGACAAATGCAGACGTCATATCCTTGGTTTTGAAAACTTCAACCCACTTGGAATATGAATCGATTGCAAGAAACAAATAATAGCCTCGAACGGGACCTGCAAAGTCAATGTGAACACGTTTCCAAGCTGAATCAGTGGGTGTCCACGGCATGAGAGTACTTTTCTCAGGACTTGCTTGAGTCTTTTGACAATAAACACAACCTTTTATCAAATTTTCAATTTCTTTGTCAATATGCGGCCAATAAACATATGAACGAGCTAACGCTTTCGTTTTTACAATTCCCATGTGCGATGCGTGAAGGTCTTGCAAAATGATCTTACGCAGAGCATTTGGAATGACGGTGCGATAGCCCCAAAGAATGCAACCTGATTCAACAGATGATTCAGTTGCTTTGTTTCGAAATGATGTATATTCACTGCCTTGAAGCTGATCGACAGTTCCGTGTTGAATACAATCGTGAACCTTTGATAAAATGAGATCTCGTCGAGTGTGTGTGGCTATATCTTTGTACGTTAATGTTTTCATGATGTTTGAACCTACATAATTTATGTATGAACTCTCCTTGGTTTCTTCCGCTGTAGAAACTTGTGCAATACGTGATAAACTATCAGCCGTATTCAAAGAACCTTTAATGTACTGAATAGAATAATTGAAACCAGACAAAAGAAACGCCCATCTCTGCATACGAGCAGCGGCCATTAAAGGAATGCCTTTATTTTCGCCAAAAATTGCGATCAACGGCCTGTGATCAGTTTCAAGCGTGAAAAACATGCCCAATAAATATTGTCTTAACTTAATCACACTAAAAATGATGGCTAATGCTTCTTTTTCTATAGTACTGCGATTGTTGAATTTTTGTTTCTTTCATCATCGCCTTTTTCAATGCAGTTTGCAACGTCAGCGTTTCGTCTTCTTCGCAAAGTTTTTCGAATATTTTGCTTGGCAATTCAACGACAAATTTGTCCAAAACGATACGTTCCAAATCACCAGCGACGAATTTGCAATCGAGTGATAACCTCTTCACACGTGCAAACCACGATGCTACACGTTCGTCGGCTCCCATTTTCGCTGCGTAGAAATTTCTTCGCTCGTTGAAAACAATTACGGGTGGTGTGTAATGCGCTTTCATCAACGCACACAAATCGTTGTACTTCGCTTTGCTCGGTAATTTCGGACTGCATAAACAATGCAGAATTTGATATGCTTCTGCTCCGATCAATTTCAATAAAATTGAAATTTTTTGCTTTTCGTCTGTGCACTCAATTTCGACAAAATGTAATTCGAGACGTTCAAACCACAAATTCCAATTCTCTGTCGGGTTAAACTCCGGCATCGATGATGCGGTGATGATTTTCGTGTCCGTCATTTTTCGTTGGTCTATGATTTTCATGTAATGCACAGATGTTCAGAAAAAAAAAGAAGTTTTTCTTACGATTACTTTTTCGATGTAAAAAAAATTTACGGTGAATTTGCTGAGATCTTGAGATTTTTTTCTCGCAGTACTTTTTCGATGTAAAAAAATTACGGTGAATTTGCTGAGATCTTGAGATTCTTTTCTCGCAGTAATACTTTGAGTTGCCCTTTTGTCGCCAATGTGATGTATCTCAGTTGAGTGTCGGAAACAGAAGAAAGTCTTTATTCAATGTTCTTACTAGCTAATGTCACAATGGTTTTATTCAAGTTGACAATGTGTGTGAATGGCGCTGTGATATAAATGTAGTAATAGATTAAGTAGTTTCACACTTGCTATAATGATGTACTTTACGTACTCTACATTATCATTTGATACACCGTTTTTGGATGAAATTGAAAAAACCTCAGAAATTAGAAAACTCTGCAAATTGGAAATGGTCTCGGGATATTTCATTTCTAATTTGCGGGGGCGTACTGTATTGGAGTTTCCATAATTAAAAAAAACACAAAATGTTAGATTCAAAATAGAAACTGGTTCGTGGCAGAATTGTTTTTTTTTAATTTTGCGGACCATACTGAAAAAACGCCTGCGTTCGAACAGAAAACTACACTGAAACAGAAGTCGATTTGACATTAGCTGTCAAACCGGCAAGATGAACAAGTGCATTTGTTAAGTGAGCGCGTTCACTCCGTGTCAGCAGGTTTTGGACGAATTTCATTTTGCAAATTATGTTGTTGTTAGTGTAATGATACCCCCGCGTTTGAAGCATTATAAGCTTCTCAATAGTGGAACCTCTGTTTAAGAGAAACCTCGAGATAGTGGAAACAATTTTCGGCCGGAGCGAGTCCACTATTGGGAGGTTTTACTGTAATTATTAACATTTTTGTTAGTAATTATTAACATAGACGCTAATATTTAAAAAGTATAAATATGTTATTAGAATAATATTAATTAATAATATCACGGAGGACGGTAGTCCGACAAGTGACGCACCATAGACTGTGCATTTCAAGCCAAATATCAAAAATGCCAGTTTTTGCGTCACGAGTATATATATATACAGTAAGTATGCTATTTTCTCAGGGCACTATTTGGGCCCCGGCATGTTAGGTAGTACCTAACTTAGGTACCGTTGGAAAGGTCTTAGCCCAAATAGTCGGAAACACCATATCCCCTATGCCCAAGGTGTGGTCTAGGCAAAAATATAGCGGTTGGAAAATTTCGATAAATTTTCAAATCTATACCTATATCTTACGAAGGGGGTACCCAGAGGGTGATCTGAGGTATCCAAGAGAAGCTCCTCTTCGCCACCTTTCCAACGCCGGTCCAAGCGCTCCGATTGGTTCAAAAACGAAAAAGTTATGGGCATTGGCAGTTTGACCATGGTTTTTTATGAAAGTATTGATTTGGATGTGCGTGTTTGTCCACGAATTTTTTTGACCCCCACAGATTTTGGTGTCGATATTCCTAAGCTGTAGCTGGTGTCGGGCCACATCGAAACCCGTCCTCAGATTGACATTTGCATTACAGGAGAGCTGGCTATGGCTTCACTAGCCTGCATGTATACGATTTTTTCAAGTATTTATTTCGCACACTAGATCAACTCAGACACCCATCGGGCAAAGTCGGCTCGTAATTATTTGACAAGACCTTCAAAAAGTTCCATACACACATGCCAATGTTTGTGTGATATAAAAGAAAAAAGTCGATTTTTATGAAAAATCGACCCCCTTAAATTTCACACCAAACGCGATTTCTCAAAAATCAGCCCGACAATCTTTTACCAAAAACTGGGCGTTTGTAGCCGGCCACCACACCAACAAAATGGCATATGCCACATATCCGGGAAAATTCGTATTTCGAAGTTCTCGGCATAGGCAATTCATCAATGAACGGAATTTGTACGAAGAGTCGCATTCTACGATGAAATTGCTGTAAAAAATACGCATTGACTGGCTGAAAAAAAGGTCACGAAAGACCATATCCGCTCAATTTTCGGCGAGCAATCGATTAAAAGTGGTTACCAATGCGGTCTGAGGCTATTTCATGGTCGAAAAATAGGTCGGATAGAAGTGAATTTTTCAACTTGCTCCATTTTCACTGAAAATGATGTTTTTGTTCGGAAAACACGTGAAATAAACCTCTGACGACAATTTGGTCTTAGAAAACTGCTATTTTTTCGTGAAAATAATGGGAGTCCACGAACACTTGAATATCCATTTCGTTGTCATTTTGGTCATAAATCGGCATTTTGGCATCTGAATGTATGAAATTGAACTTTTGTTCGGGGGATACATAAAAAATGCGCTTTCCAGAGCTTTGGTGGTTGGAAATTAATATGTTTCAATGAAGTAATGGGTCCAAAATTACTTCAAAACTCTTTTAATGGATATTTTGAAATTTGATCACATTTTACAATGTCCAATAAGGGGAAAATGGGACTTTTTAAATGAAAGTGGAAATTTGCTATTTACAAAACTTGCGAAATGTTGATGCAAATGTTTTACCCGAAAAATAACAATTTCCCAATGATAAGACCTTAAAATAGACATATTTCTGGCAAAAGTATATTTTTTCCGAGAATAATTGCCTTACAAAATTAGTGATATCAGATGAAAAACCTCTAGACGAGGTTAAAATGGAGTGACGCTCCTGTGCGTGGATTTACCACTCAAAATGACTGATATCATTTTGAGTGACGCTTTGACGCTGTATTACCTCTGGGTACGAAGTTCAAAAGTGTTTTTCGCATTCACTATTAAAAAAATTTATTTACAATAAGGAAAAATATCGCGTCACGACTTTTGAATTTAGTCTCCAAGTCAAACTTTCAAGCGTTTTGCCGTCCAAAAGTCGTGACGCAAAATATTTTTCCTTATTGTAAATAAATTTTCACAATAGTGAATGCGAAAAACACTTTTGAACTTCGTACCCAGAGATAATACAGCGTCAAAGCGTCACTCAAAATGATATCAGTCATTTTGAGCGGTAAATCCACGCACAGGAGCGTCACTCCATTTTAACCTCGTCTAGAGGTTTTTCATCTGATATTATTAACACGAGATGTTAAAAATTTAACGATATTAATATCGTTATTAACATCAACATATTAACAATAATATTGTATTAACTTTGCAACTATTGGGTGTGTGCATGAGTTTTGAGGGATTGATAAGAGATGTATAAGATATACATTCTCAATTATTCTGATAATCTAAGCTATTGTATGTTGAAGATCATGCGAAAATCTATAAAAATTGGTCCAAAATACTGGGCAGAGGTTAACATAATAAAAAATTTTTTCTCTTTGAAATTTTTTTCGGTACGCCAATTTCGTGGGGGGGCTTCTTTACACGATGAAAAATATATAAAAAACGGATATCCTTGCATCAAGTGTGCACTAATAATGAAGATTGAACCATTCTCGATAGATTTAAGCAGGAAAAACCATTCTAAGATCGCTGCTCCTTGTCACTATAGAGGGCGCTGTAGGTTCATCACTAAAAAATGCATTTTTTTCATTTTTGGGGGCTGGAGGGGGGTAGGGGTGGCGTAAATTTATCAAAATAATAGAATTACTCGTTTTTAATAATAATCAATCGGCATATATCAATTACACTGTGCGACAAAAAAAAGTCAAAGTTGCCTAGCCCAGAGCGGATATATCAAAGTTTGGAGAGGACCAAGAGGCATGAAAACCCTCAAAAGGGTTTTGTCGAATTGGTTCCATATAAGAAAATTATGGTCATTTGAAAAATTTGCTTTGCAGAGGATTTTCAAAATTTACTTTTACTTGTTTTTTTGCTTTTTCATGCAAATCCATGTGACGAACGGGTCAAAAGTAATGGAAAATGACCGACTAAAATCAGATCAGCAATAAAACATAGCTACTTCGGACTATTTTTGGGTCCAAACAGGTAAAAGTATCATTTTACGTATATATCCTCAAAATTTAACTTTTAAATGCGCAATTTAAGTATTTTTCACGCAAAATTTCGAAGCAAATCAATAAAAAAACGTAAATCAGTAATCAGAAGCAAGCACTTTGAACCCCCAAACCCCCCCTGGATACGCCACTGCACACAACTCAATTTGTATGAGAAGAACATCGTGCATAAAATGAGTTGTAGTGTGAACTGAATGCGCGATTCTTAAGCCATGCATTCTAGTAACTATACTCACTAGATATATTAAAGTAATAAGATTGCATCTTATTACTAGTTATTAGAAGTTACTACATACACGGAAGAAAGGTTTAAATATTCGCTACGCCCAATTTTTTTTCCTTGAAAAAAACCAAAATTTGAGATTTCTCAGACAAAATTTATTTTTCGAACCTCCATAATGTATGTAAAATGGAGGCGCCGAAATAAATTTTGTCTGAGAAATCTCAAATTTTGGTTTTTTTAAGGAAAAAAAATTGGGCGTAGCGAATATTTAAACCTGTCTTCCGTGTGTGTAGTAATAAGTACTAACTATCTTATTAGTCACTATTTATCAGTCCAAACTATACCGATCAGCATAAAACTTTCTGAGTTTTGATTTTATGGTGAAAAAATGAGATTCTGTAAGTTTCATGACAATTGTGGTAGTGGGAGTATGTTTTCTAGGTTCAAGGCATGATGGAATCTCTTTGGAAACCTCAATGA